ATCAGAAAAGCCGCGGTTTTTATCAAATAAATAATTATAACGGACTTGATAAACGCGGCCCATGTAATTTAAAATGGATATAATGTAGCCAAAGGTTTGCCCTACATAATAGTTACCAAGTTTTTTGGAAACATCAGAATAAAAAATTCTAAAATTCAGGAAAGATTTTCAAAACTTTCGGGACAACCCAATATAATAATTTAATTTTGTGCCTGTCCTGTCGCAGTAGGATGTAAACCAAAATTATCCAAACGGCCTTCGTATTCAAAAAACAAAGGGCTGCCCCCAGTAAATAAATAAATTTCTCTATTTTGTAAGCGTGCAGTGTTCTATCCTTTTTTACCTTATATCTAAGGGCCATAATCCCTCTTTTTTGATGAGCTTTAGTCAGTGACCAGTAAGTTTTGAAACCTTGAATTTATGCAATTTTTTAAGGTCTGGTGCATTTGTGTCATGAGTCTTTCTGGAATTCGTCACTTTTACAGAATTATATAGATTCAGAAAAGCAAGTAAGAATAAAAAATTGCCCCAACTTGCAAAATTTTTGTCCTAATGTTTTCCGAGCCATTCTGAAACCTCGAAGATTCTGAGAAGTAAAACCAGCGACGGCACTCGTGCAAAGTTTTGCATCAAGAACATAGCTTATTGGAAGGGAAAAGAATTCTGCATCAACTGCTAAAAGTGTCTAGTGTTCTACATTCTACTTATTTTATTTTACTGTATATGCGGGATCAAAGTTGGATCAAGAAAAGGAAGGAAAATTTTGCACCAATCTAAAACATGCATATACTTTTATTCCGAAAAATGATGCAGTGCAATTTCTCCAACATTTTTGATCAAGCAGAAAGAATTTTACTTTTGGTTCGAAAATCAAGTCCTTCTTGCTTGTTCAAAACTGCAGTACTGACTTTAGACCACCCGTATTAGGAGTGCTAACATGTGATGAAAGCGAAAAGAGGGGGGGGGGAGAATTTGCAGCAACACGTTAGCAAAGACACATATTTGCACAATCGCACAAAACAGGAACATAGTCAACACCACCCAAAAACGAGGGATACTGTAGGGTTATCTCCCATGCCACCAAATAAAGCGCAAAAAGTAAGCATTGCTCAAACACCAGTGGACCGAGGTTGCAAAGTCTTTGAAGCTATGCTATGGGTTATAAATTGCGCAAATAACTAAAATATCTCTTGAAAATTCAAAAAAAAATCAATGCAGCCCTGCATCGGAAAAATTGATGAAATCGGTGAGAGCGCCAATTTTATCCACAAACGTTTGTTACTTTCGTATTCATCAACTATCCTCGAGTAATTAGTAACTTGATATGTGTATTGTACAACATGGGCACTACTTGAAGACTTGTAAAATAAAATCTGCTTATTTCTGGTGAATTTTCCTTGTTTTCTTGTCTTCTCGGTTTCAGTGGATATGCATTACTTAGTAATGAAAAATCTACGGTTTGTTACGCAAAAGAATGTTTTACTGGAGATTAACTGGTAAGAATGTCGTTAGTTGCAGCACATAATGTGCAGATCACATGATGTTTTACAAAGACTCGATCATTTGAATATGCTGTAAACTTTTCGAGCTAATGAGGGTTTTTAGGTGTGCTAATTTGATTGGCCTAAGTTTTGTTCTTCAGTACAGTCAGCAAATTGCCACAGTCAGAGAAATTGCGCGAACATACATGAAGACAAGAAAAAGAACGGAAACCATTGTAGGTCAGATGTTTATGAAGAACATCGGAGAGGTATTACAGCCCTAAGACAGATTTTGAATGCTGACAAAGTTGCTCATAACGCCCATCCTAGAACATAAAAAAGTAAATTGAGTTTCATTGGTTCTGAGATACGAGAAACATTTGTAGTGTGAAGCTCTCAGCATTAATATATTCGAGAAAAGTGGTAAATTGCGTTGGAGGTGGGCTTGAAAACAGAGAGTTTCCTTAGAGTGCAAAACTATAGTTTGAGTAACAGCCCTTTATTTTTTGAATACGAAGGCCGTTTGGATAATTTTGGTTTACATCCTACTGCAACAGGACAGGCACAAAATTAAATTATTATATTGGGTTGTCCCGAAAGTTTTGTCGGCTTCTTTCGTCGCTCACTAAAACTCACAGAACACCTATCCATGGGCGGTTTAGGTACCATTCGATTCAGATTTTATCGTCTTTCTTACAGTCATACTTCTCACTGTTCTACTCTGTCTTTGCAATGTTATCGTCATGGCTTTTTGAGCAGCTCAGCAGTAATGCCAAATCTTTCCTGAATTTTAGAATTTTTTATTCTGATGTTTCCAAAAAACGTTGGTAACTATTATGTAGGGCAAACCTTTGGCTACATTATATCCATTTTAAATTACATGAGCCGCGTTTATCAAGTCCGTTATAATTATTTATTTGATAAAAACCGCGGCTTTTCTGATTGAGTTTAGCATGTAAAAGTACCAAAAATTCCAAAAAGCTGCTTTTCAAAGCGAATCAAAGTTGGTTATGTTCCATAAATAATGTTTAGTAAGAATTATGTTTTAATACGCAGAAACTTCAAAAGCTTTCGGTATTTGATGCGTTGCGTGTTTCATGATTTTCCCAAAATTCGAGACCTCCGGAGAAATAATTGTTTTGAAGCTAAACAGCAGATTAGAATAATCTAAAAATACTATCTTGTAGAGACCGAAAATTGCTCTATTTGACCGGTACATAACCCTTTTCGAAACTTTGAAATGAAATTTTTGAAAGTTAGTCTAACTTTGAGCAGATAAAATTGACGGGTGGAGAATTTTGGCAATTATCAAATAAAGCATACAAGATTGTGGTATGAAAATGTAACCATAAGAAAGAGAAGGAAAAGCTCCATCGAATGCGCGTTGAAACTCAGATCTTTATTGTGCGTGGTTTTACAGTGGTTTAAAAACCGACAAAACTTCCGAGACAACCTAATATGATGGAGCAGAGCAAGATCTGCAACTGCTCGCGAAAACTCTCTTCTATCTAAAGTTTAATGCTAAGGTGAAAAATGTCATTACAATCTATTACATTTTCAATTACGTCTACGTGTACAGTTTATGGCTTTTTCCATGGCTAAGAAACGAGAAAAAACAGTCAAAAGTGCGGATACGCCGCGTTTTTCGGGAGGGGGGGGGGATGGGGGCAGGTACACGATTCGATGCCATAAGTAAAATTTTGTAAATACTAGCAAGAGCGATTCCACACTACTTGTATTTTTGCGCATCTTTCGCATGCCCCTCCCCCCTGAAAAATCACCGTTATGCTTCTAAAGGTTTGTAATATAGAATCACCTATCTGGGAGTAGCTCAGCATTTCTTTAGCGAAAACTTTCTCGATTTGTAGTCATAGAGAAACTCAAAACTTTGCATATTAATGTCTGATGTAGAGAGAAAATGCATGAGCAAGCTGGGGGTCTCTGTGTTTTTTGGACAAAGACGATTCCTTAGATTATTTTGACATCTAGATCCTCCTAAAAATTTATCTTCAAACTTCAGAAACGTTTACAAATCTTCAAAAGCTTCTTCTTGTAAAGCTTGCTTTGCTCAATCAAACAGTACTCTTTCACTTTTATTTGTGGCAGTCATGCCGCGAATTATTATTAACCGGTGGAGAGACTTTGGTTTCCGAAGAGCCATACATTTTGCACATGTCTCAAGCTAAACACTCTCAAAGATTTTTGCATTTTTGCAATCTCAGCCTTGGTTCTAAGTTTAGATTTGTTGCTCATGTCATTTAAAGCAAGCACACATAAACAGTTCTCACCGATGCAAATGTTTTAGTGGTACATAGTACGTAATATGTGTTGGTCAACGGTGACAGTACACTAAACGACGAGATTTTTAGATTTTTTTGTAGAGTATGAGACATCAGGGCGTTATGTGATATGAATTTTGCAGAGCTTTTAGTGATTGCAACATGGCACGCAAAACTGACAGTAACAGTTTTGGTGCATTTTGCATTTGCAAAAATATTCCACAGAAAGTAAGCCAAACTTTTTATTACAATGCAGTCATATGATCAGCCTCAAACAAATATCTGCTTCACATATGTATACATACTGATTACGTAAGCTATTATGTTATCTACAGTAGCGGCACAGCAAAAAATATGGAAGAAAATCATCAGGGGAACTGTGGAGTTGAGATTTCGTAACAACTGATGTGCTTTTGGATTACAAAAACATTTGTGAGCGAACTCCTCAATTTTTATTTTTTATTTGCAGAAGGAAAACACACATTATTACGATGATAACGCGGTTAAAAATATTGACAGCATTAATGGAAAATTCAGGGTGAAAAGTTACTTAAATTTCACGAAAAATGAATTGCAACTAAATCAGCCAAGATAGAGCCGCTGTCAGTTTCCTAGATCTATAAAGGAGCAAAACTAGGCATCTGTTCAGCTTCGTTACTCAATATTCTCCACTATTTTTAGGAAAAAAAGGTTGATAAGAATTTTAGCGCCGTTAGAAAAACTACGCTACCAGATTTGCTCTCAGCAGCAAGAAAATATGTAAGTATGAAATGGTGCAAGTCAAGCCATACTTCGAGCATATCATCGTTAGCTCCGCTTACAAAATCATATAATAGTTGAAATTTAATTACCTGTAATCAAGTGATGGAGTTAGCATGATCAAAAAAGCAAACTATGTCAAATGATCAGAGGAGCACAGCTGCATCAACTTTAGAAGTATGCGAAATGCGCTTTGCTCTAGCACATAGATACCACTTGTAGCCTAAAATATATATTAAAATATTAGAAATTATAGAAATAGAAAACTTAGTTGTGTCAGTCAAGATAAAAACAGCGTAGTTTTTGCTATAAAATTTATTTGACAATATTTTATATTTTCGAGTTTTCACAAGAGGATTGATCAGAATTGTCAACCAATCCGAATTTTGAAAAGAGGGCCTGGCAGACCAGCAAAAATGAACTGCCGGCCTTCCGGCAAGTATATAAAATTGCAACTTTCAGGACTCTGCATTCATCAAACATGACTGTGACAGCTGCCATAGTGTTTGCGGTAAAGCCATGACATACTTTCCACTGTATGAGTACGTTGAATTTTACGATTACAGGTGGCGTTGATAATACCATCAATTGCGCCAGGTTTGCTTATAATAAGAATTCTTTTGGAGTTTTTTTTTGAAAACTTTTGAAAAAGAATTGAAGTAGATATATTTTAGCTTTCTGTCCTGATGGTAAGCTGGAAGAAAGTGATATCGAAGCTGCGCTTACAACAATCAACGACAAACGATCGAATGTTGTAAAAGGGTAGACCCCCTGCCAGCGGGGAAGAACATGAATAAAATAGTGAGTGATATAGATAACCATCATAACTTATAATAACGGGCTAAGGTTGTTTACGTGTTTTTGTGTGTGTGTGTGTGTGTGTGTGTGTGTGTGTGTGTGTGTGTGTGTGCGTGTGTGTGTGTGTGTGTGTGTGTGTGTGTGTGTGTGTGTGTGTGTGTGTGTGTGTGTGTGTGTGTGTGTGTGTGTGTGTGTGTGTGTGTGTGTGTGTGTGTGTGTGTGTGTGTGTGTGTGTGTGTGTGTGTGTGTGTGTGTGTGTGTGTGTGTGTGTGTGTGTGTGTGTGTGTGTAAGTCTGTCTGTCTGTCACGAAATTCGTAGGACGTGTTCCAGCCAACCTCCTGAGCCCAAATTTTGCACAGCACATGCTACCTACATGGGATTCCACTATACAAAAGCACGAGCGGATCCGTTGCGTGGATCCCTCAAAAAATGCGCCTCTAACGGATCCACTTGGCTTTTGTCCAGTAAAATTGAGCGTGTAGCACGACTTTTTGCAAAATCAAGGATAGTTTCACAAGTTAGTATGCAAGCCATGGACTTTAGCCTAAAAAATTGAACCAAAGTTCATTACTTCGCGAAAACGGCGCAAAAATGTATAGGTTGCGTAAATGTTCAATTTGCCAAGGTTTTACCCGATCATTTGAGAAGATTTTTGCACAGAGATGTGGCCCACGTTGGTTATTGCATTTTATGGCGAATACCAAGCTGTGAAAAGTCCAAAAACCGATTCAATTCTGCATTTGTTCTTATGGCAAAAGTTTCGTTCATGCGAAATTACCGATCTCATATGAAAAAGCTTTCGGAATGAATAGTTGTTTACAAGCCATTCGTGATAGTCCGCATAGCGCGGTGAGTTTCAATGTCACTATTGTGCGGGAATGAGTAAAGTGTACAGATAGTAGGACCAGTGCGAGCCTCTGCGAAGAGGTGACGCACTGGTAAAGTGATAAAGTATCTGCATTACTGAGTTATGAAAGGGAGCTCGAAATGGCGGGTTAGGTCTTATCTGCATTAGTGAGTTATGAAAGGGAGCTCGAAATGGCGGGTTAGGTCTAAATTCCTTTTGAAACTGCAAGTGGATCACAAAATTCGTAGCTTGATAAAACTTTGGGATAGTAAGTTTAAAATTCTCTATATCTGTATCCGACAGATAAATCCAAGCAAAAGTAATTCATTGAGGTTGCGCTATGCAAGGGATTCTCTTCATCTTCGTTTATCACCTTCTTTAATGAACGCGAGATGAAGCAGTCAAAATTTAGGATTGGAGTTGCACCTTAGAGGAAGAAGCTTCCGCTTTTCTTAGTAATTGCAACAGCGGATTCCCAGCGGATAAGGCATATATGTATTGGGCGTAAGTTTTATTTATCAACATGGTAAAGCTCTCAAATTCAGTAGTGAACAAAACTGGTTCTGTTGACTCAGCCAAAGTGTAGCATGAATAGCCATCCTGTCTCACTTTCCCTTATTGTCGTTATCCCAATGCAAAAAAGCGACAATGTAAGCTAATGAGAATTTTTATCCGTGCAAACCTTCGTTGACCAGCTTTGCCTTCATTTTGGGGATCCCTCTAAGAATGTGGAAACAGTCATGCATTTAATTGTAATGATATTTATAAACCGATATTTTTTGTATTCAGCGTGCACATTTGCTCCTTTATGCTTATTTTTAGCTCCTAAGACAATTATGAAAAAATCAGAGGATCAGTAAATGTTATGTATGTATGATAGGTATGCACATTTATTTCCTTTAACGCTTCACGTCCCAGTTCGTATTCCAAAAACGATGTGATTGACAAAAGCAAGTTGTGTTTTCAAATGTTTGTCATTTATTATCGGCATGCCCACCACTTATAACAAGAAGCCTAGACTTCTAGCTCAAGTCTGTCGGTGAAATCAAAGGTACATTTACAGAATGTCCAAAAAGATATGCACATTGTTTGATCGTTAATAATACTCTTGCTTTCATGTCTTTTGCCGAGCTTGATGTACCATTCTGTAGAGTTAGGTTCAACTTAGACTAACGGCATAGAATAAGATCTTTTCTTTACTGTGGGACTACTTTCAGCATACAGCGTCAATGTAGACCTTTCAAAGAAGGAAATTCTTAAAAATCTCAAGATTTGTGTAGCTGTTTTCAGGCGTGCTGATTTCACTACACAACTTCTTACCAACTTCTTTCTTAGTTTTTCGAGCTTTCTTATTGTTGGTGGTGTAACCATATTTACGAACATTGGAAGAACGGTTATCACCCTAAATCTGTAAAAATTTGTGCAAGAAGCATCACAGTGAAATGCAGTTCTCATATTTGAAACCAGCGACTTTGATTATCTCAGAGCAGGAGTTTTGTCTTTGGTTTTTCTTCTGAGGCAAAATATCGCTTCTAATGGCCTAAAACTATTCAACTATTCAAAGTTCGCGTAATCCTGCAGTAGTGAAGAAGGATCGGTGGTTTGTTCTATGCAGTGAATCTAAGCTGATTCTCCTACAAAAGATGCCTCAAAATCGGCGAAAAACGTTCAAGCGAGAATTGATGATCAAACAGTGTGCAGGACACCCTGTGTTGCACCCATAGCTTGATTCAGCCTATGACACCCGTTTCAAGAGGTACCTGTCAGCGGCGGTCCCAGGATTACGGACCGGGGGGGGGAGGAGAGGGAGGAAGGAATTTTTTCAGTTGGAGTTGCGTGGCGTCAGCCATGCACTTCGAAAGAATTTCAGGGATGCTTCTCGATTTGCGGGTTTATAACCCCTAAAATCTGGAAAAAGGGGGCGTGGCGTCAGCCACGCTTCAGAAGAAATTTTTTTTATAAGGCTAATTAGGATTTTCAAAAAATTTTGAAAATTATTTCAATTGTTTACAAGAATAAACAAGTTACTTGCACATTTTTATAACCCACGTAAGTCCCCCCCCCACCCCCTCTCAGTCCGCCACTGGTACCTGTGCAAAGTTGTGCTCAAATTGTTTAAGAAATTTATATTTTGCTAGGGAAGATAACATACACGCAGGCAAATAAAAATTCAACTCAAAGGGAGCGGTCCGGGAAATTCGCGACTGCGAGCTTTCCATAACTACAGGCCTTCTGGATGCGCCGAGTCCAGTACTGTACCTGAAAAGTCAAAAGCTGCTTTTTACAGCGTTTTCCTACTGGAGATAGCTGGAGGAGATGGGCGAGGGATATCCGCTATAATTAGCGACTGGCTGCAGGAGACTGTAATTCCGTTTTGGTGGTAATTGGCTGATCGAGTCAGGTAGCCTTGCGATGTTGGCAGGAATCCGTCGCCCAACCCCCTCAGCTATCTCCATGTAGAAAAACGCAGTAAAAAGCACTTTTGACATTTCAAGTACATCACTGGACTCGGGCAACCAGAAAAACCAGTAGGTGTGGAAAGCTTGCAGTCGCAGTTTTTCCAAAGTACTGCCTCTAATGAAAGAAGTTTTTGCAAAGTGTTACAACATCGTAAGTCGTCTTTTGCTCTAGCATTTTTGCGCTATAGTAGCAGCAAGGTTGGTGCTTTAGTTGTCTTTGCTGAGAGATACTTATACTGCGGAAAATTCGAAATTATTCATCGAATAATAGATAGCGAAAAGATTCGTGAATTGAAGATTTCGAGTAACGAATATCAATACTCGGTTGAAAATATCGAACGAATGCCACACAAAATTCAAGAATCAACAATTCGAAAAAAATTAAGATTATATTTGAACAATGAGGGGCAACTCTAGAAAATATTGGAAGGATTTACTCGAATGTCCAGACATTTCAAATGATTTATTCAAATGTATAGGTATTTGAGTAATTTATCGAAATATCTAGAAATATATCTGAAACTCACTGACATACCATCTTGGTCGATGCTGCTCTGAAGCGAATTCAAACAATTTAGATACGAATTTCATTCTGATACGAACTGATTGGTGCACTCGAATATAGCATTTAAACCATAATGATTCAAAATCTCGATTTTGAGTCTTCGAATTTTACTCGACAACACAGTTTCGAATTTCCAATGCAAATTTTGGAAAGTTTTATTCGAATGATCGGATTTCTATTCAATTCGAATTTTACTGGAAGAGAAGAGATGTAGATTTGCCTCTAATTATAGTTATAGCCTCCAGTTATTTACACTCATCTTGAATGACTCTATGAGTGCAATTACGCACTATCAGATGATCACTGTATGGCCTGGTTTGGTGAAAACTTCCGCCATTTGTAATTGTACAAAGTAATATGTTGTGACTGCTTATTTTATTTCTTTTGTTTTGATGACGTTTAGTGACGTTTTATAAAGAGTGAGATGCGTGCTGTGGTAACAACCATCAACTAAGACTGAAAGTGCGCACATGATTAGATATGCGCGATTTTAACCTATTACCTTTTCAGTGAGGATGATAATACAGTTGACGAAGTCATTGACCAATGGTATAACCAAGGGCTTGCCGCTGATAATCTTGAATCACTCATTGATTCCGAAAAGTCAAAGGTTGCATACAGTGATTCATTTTCAGCCACCGAATTCGCTAATGTGAGGCAATGATATTTACTCTCTAATGAGTTTATAATCAGCTGTTTGCCTTTCAGCTTATTCGAGCTTCAACAACAGAAATTGGCTGTGCACGAGCATCTGGAGATTGCGATGATATCTATGTGCTCTGCTTTACAAATCAACCGTGAGTATCAAAAAAAGATAAAATGCTGTTTGTACTCACAAGGGAAAGATATTTGGTGTATGTGGCTTTTTGAAAAGAAATTCACAACATCAAATTCGCTTGAAGCGCTGATCACAAATATTAGGTTGTCCGGAAATTAATGCCCGTTTTGAATTTCAACCGCAATAAGTCATGCACATCTCATTTCTAAATGGGTCGCAAGTACCATTCGATAGAGTAAAGCAAGCTCTACAAAAAGGCCATCTTGCTTTTGCAACAGCTCTCATCCACCTCGAATTTCGAGCCAAAAACTAAAAAGACTCGGCAACTCGAAAAATCGAAAAAAATCGTAACTCAGTTCATAAGAATCCTGCAAAATTTCTAACTTGCTCACGTAAACACTATCCACTTAAAACATCTATATACGCCTTTGCCGTATTTTTCCCTCCGTTAGAAACCAAGAAAAGGGAAATTTTTATGCATTTGCGAAAGTGATGCTGTGCCGTCCCCACATAGATAGTTTTATACCACAAGCCTGTAGAAGTACAGACTTAAATTTTTTGCTCTCTACAAGCTTTAGTTCTCGAGAAATACCATATATAGCTTTCCTTAGTTAGGTGGTCCAAGCTAAAATTCAAATTTCTTGAGAACTAAAGCTTATAGAGAGCTGAGAATTTACGTTTGTACTTCTACAGGTTTGTAGTATACAACTATCTATGTGAGGACGGCCCAACATGACTTTGGCAAAACGAAATTTTCCGTTTTCTTGATTTCTAACAGAGGAAAAAATACGGCAAAGGCGTATATAGATGTCTTATGTGGATAGTGTTTACGTGAGCAAGTTAGAATTTTTGCAGGATTCTTATGAACTGAGTTACGATTTTTTTCGATTTTTCGGGCTGCTGAGTCTTTTTAGTTTTTGGCTCGAAACTCGAGGTGGATGAAAGCTGTTGCAAAAGCAAAATGGTCCTTTTGTAGAGCTTGCTTTACTCTATCGAATGGTACTCTGCATCCCATTTAGAAGTGAGAGGTGTATGACTTATTGCGGTTAAAATTCAAAACGGGCATTAATTTCCGGACAACCTAATATGTCTTCGATATCTGCTGTGAGTCTTTCAAAGGAAGTTATAGACTTTTCTTTTCCCAAACTTTGTTCTGTTTGATAGCGGTTTCCGCCAATACCGTTTAAATGGTCATTTACGCGCTACAGAATAGCTTCCCAATGAAAAAGCTTTACGCTAAGCTTAGCAATTTGTCTCCGAGATATACGAGTCAAAAAATCCTGGACACTGACAATCCTCACTGCCTAGATCTTATGGAAATAATATGAAAATAGTACATAGTTCATTCAGAGAGTAGCACAGCAAATGTTGAGCATACATTTGAAATCAGCATTTAGGCGTATCTACAGGTACACATCTTATTCCAAAAGGCCGGAGTCGCCAAGTATCCTTTCCTTGCCAAAGATATTTTCACCACTAATCTGAATCTCCACCGCTAATCTGACATCTTGGCTCGGAATTCTAGTGCAATCTCAGCTGTTCATTCTATGCTTCAGGGTTTACATTCGTAAGGGAAGTTTACTGAATGTCGATTTCGTGTGACGACAAATCAATGCTCTACACATCACTTGAACTCCCATCCTAGTTCACCGCCACAGAAGTACCCTTTGTTTCCACCACGTTGATTTAGTTGAAGCAAAGGATCTTTCATAATTTGAAATCTTTCACTAATATCTATCAAAAAGCAGAATACTGCTTATTTTTTCGTATTGATTTATTGCATCAGAAAAATGCGGATAAACCAGATGTATCACACTTTCTCACTGACTTATTCACTACCACATGAATTAGTCTGGATTCTAAGTCGCTTATAAGCAAAATTCGTACAAGTAACAGTATCAACGGAGAGCATATAGCAAATTTTGAGCTGCTGTAATGCACAGCTACATTAGAATAGCGTACACGATCAAATTCTTGCGCAATCACTAATTGAAATCCGTACATTCGACAGCTGCGTAATTTGATGAGCGCTTTTAGTCTTCACCTAAAACCTTCGCAGTACAAATCGCACAGCACACATGAGCCAAAAGTGTTCAATCCAAAAGTGGCTAGAAGTTAATGTGAGTGGAAGGTCCCAGAGTACGTAGACCATTTAGGATAACCAATTTAAAGACGAGTGACAGCAAAGCTCATTCTGTAAATTTTTGTTAATTTGCTAGAGGGTAGGGAAAAGCAAAAGGAAGAAATATAACGGAAGCGTCCGGAATGCCAAGTACATAAGAATGGGAATTTTCGAAATCAAAATCCATATCTCCCTCAGTAGGCACTTCCTGTCATAATTGCAGGAACAGAGAAAATTGTAAAGTTTTTGAACTTTTTTTTTGATCTGCACTTCTATCCCTTGTGTGATCGACAATCGAAAAATTCTCACTCAAGCTCGTGGGGTGCCCTTTTCTCAGAAATCTCTCAATAACTGTCCCGCTGAGGAAATAAGTGTTCATTTGTAAAATCAATTTATAGGTTCAAAAACAAGGTAAGGACGCTTTTCTTTCTCAGTGTAGGCGATCACTTCTGCGCTAGTAATTAGTAGATGCATACAGCCCATGCTCAGAAGTGAATCTAGATGCTGCTTTGCTTTATTTCCCGTGCTATTGTAGCAATTCTCTTCTATGTAAAGCAATGAAAATATGCGTAAGGGGACCTTTCAAGCGAAATATTAACTCAGGCCCCTATTAGACTGTTCTTGTCGTAGTAAAGAACAATATTTGAAGCAAATCAATTTAACCTGCTTTTGGTAAGCCCACACGAGTTCTGGGTGTACAGGTCCCTACTCACTGAATTTGCACGCTACTCCCTTCACTTATCATAAAATCCATTACAGACCTACACTTTTGCCCGCTTTTTCATTTTTTTTTTATACTTTTCAAAAAAATTCTAGCTGCTGATAAAATGAAATGCTGCATCAGACTGCATTTGAATATGAATAAGTGTACCAACATCTCCTTCAGTTGCTGCCGCTGAAGTGAGTTTTTACAAGTAACTGACAGAGTATTGTTCGTGAACAGCGTCGAATTCTAGCTCTTGTGCTTCAAGGCCGAGAATGGGTCGCAAATTTTGTATTGCCCTTTTTTCGTTATGAAATCATTTGAAAAACCGCTATTGTTCCAAATATTCCAAATAATTTCAAAAATATACCAAGAATCAAGTAGCCTTACGAATAATTTCTGGAAAATGACTATATGAGAGGTGGTGGCGCTAGCTGGAAAGCGCACCTGAAAAAATTTTTTGTTGCCCCAAAATCCCAAACTTCTCGGACTGTCGCTGCAAATCATATCTGAATATTCAGACAACTAGGGAACGGAGATACCATATACGAGGTCGGAGATGGAGCATGTAGTGAGGCGAGCTGTGATTCTGGTAGATGCAACACTGGCACTGGACTATGTGAAATTGCCGCCGAGACCACGACAACAGCAGCAAAAGAAACTGCTACCACCAAGCCAGCCAGCTATCCTGGAGAGCTACCCAGCGGTACAATCTATTCATAAATATAAGTTTGAGTTGTCTTTAAGAACATAATGGTAGAAGAAAGAGGTATCCGTGCCGCTTTTCCCTCAATCATTTAGATGGATCAACTCAGATGTTACGCGTAATTATCGCTGATGCATCATCGTCACTTTTTTCACGCAAGTTTGATTGAAGACTAAGTCAACAATGTTATATCAGCAGAAGTTTTCACATATATTCATGTCTGAGCACCACATTGTAGACGTGACGGGAGAATATAGTCGTTATAAAACCAAATGGAAAATTTGCAGAAAACATTTTAGTATTTCAAACCTACGAGTAAATTTGCCGTTTCTCTCACAAGGGAAGTTCGCCGAATCGAAATGGCCGATTGATACGTGGTATATACCCGGAGGCGGGGCTCCGAAGGTTAGTATCAATGTGCGTCCATCAGCTGCGACGCGTTATTGTAAAGCAAGTTATGGCCCTTTGAAGTTTTTGGCGTGTGCATGTCTAGGGAACGCACAAAAGCTCCGATTGTGGTCGTGTGGTGTAGTGGTTAGCGCCTCGGACTCACAGGTGACCGGTGAGGGTTCGAATTCTGTTGCTATCCACGTGTTTTGCGTTCTTCTCAAAATTCATTTTTTACCTATTTTATGCATTACTGGCGTAAAAAATGACACATACGGGTGGTTAAACTCTACTAACTATACATCCTGCCGTGTCATTCTCACAAGGTAGCCCATTGGCAATAATCAATAGTACGACGTGATACAACTTGGAGATTGTCACGTAAATACTACGTGCAATTGAAGAAAGTATGTGGGAGTGAGGATTTGGCAAATCTTCAAAGTCAATTGAAAAGCCGTCGCTAAAAAATCGTTGCTATGTTCTACGAAAATCTTACATATGAAGCATTGGTCGAATTTGCATGAGAAAAATCATCCCGTAACCCTGCGTCATTTTTTACCTCAATAGTTACATAAAACAGGTAAGAAATGATTTTTGAGAAGAACGCAAAACAGGTGGACAGCAACAGGATTCGAACCCCTCACCGGTCACCTGTCGAGACGCTAACCACTACACCACACGACCACAATCGGAGCATTTGTGCGATCTCTAGACATGCACACGCCAAAAACTTCAGAGGGCCATAACTTGCTTCACAATAACGCGTCGCAGCTAATGAGCGCACATTTGATACTAATCTTCCGAGCCCCGCCTCCGGGTATATACCACGTATCAATCGGCCATTTCGATTCGGCGAACTTCCCTTGTCAGTCTGCAAATGACGAGAGCTACCTATGTGTACTCTTCTCTTCTCCACTTCTCGTCTTCCTTTCTTCCTCGAATCCACTAAATTTTCGGATTCGCAGTCGCATCTATCAAAATACTCTTTCTCCTAATCTCAGAAAGACGAAATTGAATTAGTCTTTTGACTATGTACTTTATAGGAACCAATACAAAGTGCTCCAGCAATGTCGGAATGACCGATGAACTCAGAATGCAATTCCTGGACACGCAGAACTACAGAAGGTTATAATATGTTTTTCATCTTCATATCTCCTTCCGTAATCGTAAGTTTCAACATCACTATTACATCTAACATAAGATTCAACACTTGAAAAAACCTTCATAACTTTCTCAAAAAAATTCATATTTTTAATTCCAGACTGTGTGGAGAGATGTAGCTCTTCCATATATGTATGCCACACGCTATGCCACGTCACGTTACAAAGATTCATTTATTGAAATTTTCAAACAATTTTGAATTATTTTTGACAATTTCAAATTCCTACTTACATTGTTGAACAGCCTAGACTTTCGAACTGCTTTCATGTTAGTACTTTAATCAATCTATCTTTTGTATCACGGTTTTGGAAATAAGGCATCACGTCGTCAATATAACACGTGCACATCAATACAAGACCACGTACCTAGAAAACGATTTCGTATGACAGCTTGGATTCAAACTATTTTGTTAAAAGAATCCTTGTATTCTACAAATTACGAAGTCATTTGGCCACAGATGAATGGCTTTGAAAATTATGAGGTGGAATCCGCACCTAGCGTCCGCGAGCTAACTCTTCTTGGGGGCTAAATCAGCCAGCATCATATTTGATAGGTCGAAAGTAATGATGAAACCCACAATGCACTTTTTTCAGTTCCTTCAATAGACTTTGTAAATTATCCAAAATCTTTGTAAACCTGACCTGAATTCGACGAAAACATTCTAATTAGTCACTCAATGCTGTGTGCAGAAGCTTTTTTTGCTAATTCGAAGCACCTTCTAAGTCGGACCTTGCCAGGAATTCAAAAATGCATTTTTAGATTCGTGAAACTTATTGTCAAGCAAATTAGCGCCGTGCAACGGTTTTGTCGCGGCGAAAACGTTGCAATAAATCAAAAATAGTATTTTTGAAAATTAGACCTAATGTCTAAACCGCCGGATTCGTAGCAGTTCAGCGTGTTTTCAGTTTCTTCAAAAATCCACTTCAAAGAAGTTATAGCCCGACGGTTTTTTCACGATAAAAACGCAGCGACGGAATACCCCAATCCGTTTTTCCTTAGAGTTAGGAGCTCAATTGTATGCCGGAAAATTTATAGAGAATTGAAAAACATATAGAATAAGAGACAGAATTTTTGAAGGAAACTAAAAAATGCAGGTTGAACCGATTACAAAATTGCCTTCATAACTACACCCATATCGGTGAAGGTAAAATAATGCCAACAGATAGCCCTTTGTTCAATTTATAGAAGCCAAATATCAGACTTTGCTAAAGTTTTAGATATTTCAGAGGCAGACGAAGGTTTAATAAATTTACGTCGCGACCTTATACAAATGATGTTTTAGAAGCATACTCGCGAAAGGCGGTCAAGTCAAAAGACCAAGCGGAAACATTCTACCATCTGGAGCAAATATCATAAAACTGGTAATGCCTATTAGCTATGCTGCGAATCTATCCAATCAAATCTTGCAAGTGGATCTGGAACCTCTATCATGCTTAAAAATTTTTAGAATTTCAACTGCACTCTGGAAGAGGAAGCTATTCAAGAAGTACGACAATGTCCTACATCTAAGACACCGCATAGCAAGTATGGTAAAAACTTAAACACCTTCGCATCGAGTACCGTTGTATCAACTTACAAAGATGCAGTAAAAATGGTTGGCAATTTTGTATGGTTCCTGATTTAGAATTTCGTAAAATGCAAATATATAGGCTGTGACAAATTGGTGGAAAGTGGTTCGTACCGAAAGCAATGGTCCAGGAATGCAAGTGACATTCCGTAGTAATCATGTGAATCAACCTGTAGAATCGTATACCCAGGTAAGGACGAATACTTTTTTAGAAATTCCATTTATGCACGTTGTAGATCTTAATGATTATAAGCACACTAGGAAACAGTAGATTGAGTGGAACACAAGCTGAGTTTTCTATTTGCAAACACAAAATAAGCACCTTTACTTCTCATTCTCAGATTGCTTGGGCCAACACCAAATACATTGGATGTGCAATCGCCAAATGCTCACCTTCCTACACGGTCATATGTCTTTATGATCCAAAGTACGTCACACGTTTGCTTTGTCATTCAAGCTAAGATGAGAGTTTTATAGAGGTAACATCGTGGACCAAGTGCTTTACATGAAAGGAAGTCCTTGTGCGGCTTGTCCTACTGGTACGACATGCGACAGCGCTCTTGGACTCTGTGTGCCGAGATCATAATTCTTAACAACTATGACTGCTTATTCTGCTTTTTCTTTAGATTTTTCCTACTATATGGGGGCACTTTATCTGTCCTAGTCGCTTTAGACATTGTCTTTTACTCTTGCTAGTAAACTCTTTGTGGAGCGCTTCTTATGCATCTATAGTGTTGCTACATTCGAGCTTCATATGTTCGCAGGTTCCATCGTTCCAATTCAACTTCAACCAACAGCTCAGTTTACTTGTTATACAAACAGCTGCAAACTAGTACTTGGCTAAAGACGTGCGGACTGGCAGGGTTTTGCGATCATGCGCATGGCAAGATGAACGGTAGCTGCAAATAAGACACTGAGTTCAAAGGTTGTCGATATGCTGCGCATGTAGTCGTTTTTGGAGCGATGTGAATGATTGCTGAATCAAAAATGGTCGAGTAAGGATTAAAGTCCATCAAGCTCTCAGCATTCTTTCCTAAATCTTTTTATTTTAACATAGGGGTAAATATAGACTAACACGCAACCGGATTGCGAAAAAGTAAGCGAAGAGTTGTTTTCAATCTATCAATCTCAAAATTTTGTTCTTTTATTTTGTGACTGAGGATTTGGATGAGTTTGTGACGACGGGGAACAGAAGCATAAAAGCATAATTTTTATTAGAACTTTGCGCCAATCAGGCCGTTAGGATCAAAAAGCTTTTCGCTTCAGGTTCATGTTAGAACTGTTATAGAAGGACATTGACTATGTAAGCAAAATCATTTGCACAAATTTTGTTGTTACGGTAGCAATGATTTGTGAAGTCAGATTGACAGCGATATGTGAGCTCTTATGCATATCAAAAATCGCACCAATCATCGTCCTTACCATCGTACTGTTGCTCATTTGAAGTGCATTTATAGAAAATTCACTTGCGCTGTCACGAATTGACAATCTAATAAATTCCACTTCCGGCCTCTTATATAGAGAGACATCTACATTGGACAAGAAGACGCTTTTCAAGAAGGAAGCCTCTATATTTTGCGGCTCAGTTGTGTTCAGATGAGCATCACGTTCAATGCTAGATAATCATTTGGTTATTCTGATTGTGTCTAGCATAGATATTAGGTCATTCGGAAAATTTTTCGCTTTTGCGCCTTTTGTGTTGCTACCATATTTTAAAAGGGTGCCAAAGGGCTGGTAGGGGTTGCTATATATGGATCTGTAGAGGAAGTCTTCTAGTTTTTGAGTATCCTACCGAAGTTTACGCTGCTCTAAAACGACATACGAAAACGCGATTTTCGAGTAATTGTATTCTTTAAGCTCAAACTTGAGTGTAGGACCGTTGAGGAAACCATGATTGTGCGCAATGCATTTGCCAAGGTCACATCTTTCTTGAAGTAGGTTTAAGTTCACTTCAAAAGTTCAGATCTTGAGAAGTGAAAGCTAATATTTTGCAGTGTCCTGTGTTCCTGCCATATAAACGAGCATCTCAGAGGGGCCTTTAAAGAAAATCGCAAATATAGCTGCATAAAATTATCAGCAGGCCTTGAGGTGTCATACAATTCCATTAAAAGCCACCTTCGCTAAAGCTGCAATACCGAAAAATTTCAATGACATGTACCCCACAAATTGTAGCACTCGCAGATAGAGGGCGCGTTGACTCTGCTTTCGTTGCTCATAATTTGTGGAGCAATCCTTTTTTGCCTGCGTTATTGCTCAAAGCAAAAAATTGGCCAAGTGCGACTACAAGAAGCGACATTGTGGTAAATCATCTGGAATAAGCATTGAAAGCATGGCCAGAACAATCGGTCATTCCACAAGGTTGATGTACTCAAATTAATGTAATCCTGCTGGTCTTGTAGGCTATAATCTTGCTAAGATGCACTTGTACTGTAAGAGCAGAGTAGTGTGATATCGTTCTGAAGACCGTTTGCCAAAATTTCAAAACTGAGCAAACTTGCACGTATAAGTCATGAGAGATGCCATCCATGCCAATGTCTCCGCCAAACCACATGTAAGAAAAGTGGCTCTCACAAAAGGGGTTGACTGCGCACGAAGGTTCCTGTTTTATTTTTAAACTCTTTAGACCTTCCTTTACAATTCACCAAATTTTCTTATTCCTCGGTGCCTATCAAAAAATAATCGGACCTAATAAATATTAGCTAGTCAAAAACTCCTTTTAAGTCTTTGTTGAATCCTCTGTGATTTTCGCAAGAAGAAAGTACAGGAGGACTACCCGAGCGGTAACAGAAATTTGCTGAATACAATGCAGTTTATTTGATGGAAAAAGGCTGAATCTGAAAAATTGTGCTCGTTTGAATTTAAAGGTGCGAAAACGAAAAGACTTTCCGAATGACCTAATAGCAAAGGAACAAGGAAAAATATGCTAGCACTCAGTCACCAGTCAAGCCTTGCACCACACTATATCTTCCTTATTAATTAGCATTGTGGATAGATTGGCGGCTGGAGGGCGGGGCTGCTTGGGCTCTGCACCTTTTTCGTGAGCCTGTTCTTTAATCATTTCCCATCACAAGCGAGGAAAGGCAGAGCTTCAATCACTAGAGAGCACGATTGCGAAAGGCGTGCAGAGGCAAGCGAAGCGGCTGTGCGGACGTAACCCATACCACAGCCGCCAATCCCACTGAATCAGAGAGTAAGTCCAGTAGGTTTGTCGGTGAATCTCCAATTTCCGGGAGAGTTTTAAATTTGTGCGTGAAAAAAATACCAAAGTCCAGCCATTTTTACACGATCTTTGTGTCAAAGCACGCAGAGCGCAATGACAGCTTTTATTAGTTTGAAAGAAACAAAAACTGGTAAAAAATGTTTTTTTAAGAAGAGGTTTTCATATTTTGTATTGTGTGTTTGTAACCATTCACCGCAACAATATGAAGCACTCGTATGAGGCATCTCCAATACAAAAGAGCAATAATGGCACGTACCGCCGCTTCGACACTTCGCCGCTTTTCTTCCAACCAAACCTTTTAATAAGACTGAGCTCGATTGTCGATTGATCTTGGCATCTTCTATGTAACTTTGAACTTGAGCTTGAGCAGTGGTCAGGATTGGTGTTAATCTTTTTTCACTCGGAATAAGGTTTCGGTGTACAACGTTCTCTCCAGAGCATGAAAGAGCAAAAACTGTGCGAAGTTTTTATGAGCACCACGTCACTCCAAATACTTTACAAAACCAAATTTGGAAAGCCCTGGCACGAAAACCCTGCTGCCTGTCATTTTCGCTTTGGATAGCATGCGCAATTCAAGAAAGCGATCATGGGGTCTGCACCAGACGGAAGCGAAGTCTTCCGAGCGCCTCCGGTTCAAAGGCTATTTTCTCGGCCCAGGGAAGCATCAACCAGCCGGACTGCGTCTGAATACAGAGGGATGACCAGGAACCCCGCCATAGCAAATCCCTCCAGGGCGCTAATCTGCCGGGAAACCGCCTTTAAGCAAGATTTAGGTCGATTTCTATTGCCTCCTCAACGTTGACCATGTAGGCTGCTAAGGTTGCATAGATTCTCACGGGGGAAGTGTCAGAAATCGCAGTGGCAGTTTGAGATAGGATGGGTGGTGTGACACGTCACTTGGAAGGGATTTCCGAAACCACCCTCGCTAGCTGCAGAACAACTCTGCGAGGGGGGCTACGGGCGTTTTTACGCACAAGACCCAGCGTTCCTAGCTCGAATACGACTGCCACCCTCAGCCAGCCGTACCAGTGCGGCGCAGTGGCAAGTGTGCCGACTACCGTGCGGATGTACGTGGAGGTTCGAATCCTCTCTGGAGATAACCTTCTTGCAGTCTATACAGAGTGTCCCAAAAAGATGTGCACACTGTTTGATTGTTAATAACTTTCTTGCTTTCATGTCTTTTGCCGAGCTTGAGGTACCATTCTGTAGCGCGAGGATAAACTTGGATTTACAGTATGGAGGGACTTACCAGCCGCTTTTCATACTGCAGAATTACGGTAGGAATTTCGTGGAGGATCAGCAATGGAAAGCTGTATTTTGCCTCAAAAAAAGCCAAATAAGCCAGAAACTCTTGAACTGAGTTAATCATAGTCGCTGATTATAAATATGAAAACTGCACGTTAGTACAATGTTTCGTTCATGAGTTATTTCAGATTTAGGGTAACAATGATTTTCCAGTGTCAACAGAAATGTGAATACGCCATCAAGAAAGCTCGAAAAACTGATGGAAAGTTATGTAGAGCAATCAGCACGTCTGAAAACCTTGCTACACAATTTTTTTAGATTTTTTTGAAATTATTATCAAAAGGCTTATCCCACAGTGATGCTGTATGCTGAAAGTTCATACCGTATTCTTACAGTAGCAAAAAGAGATTGGACTTTTGCTTAATACTGTAAATCTAAGTTTATCCTCGCTCTACAAAATGATACTTCAAGCTCGGCAAAAGACATGAAAGCAAGAGAGTTATTAACGATCAAACAAAGCGCACATCTTTTTTGGGACACTCTGTATACAAAGTCCTAGAATGTGTGTATTAGTGACCACAACGAGTTTTAATCCTTTAATGGTGTTTAAATGTTTCCATGATAGGAAATTGTGATGAAAACTGTCTTGCGAAAAACTTTTCTGCTTCAAGCATTTTGTTCTAGAATATCATAAATGTTTTTATTGTTTTTATTTTGATTTTACTAATTTTCGATTGGTCGTACTATTCTCTCTTCTATTCTCGATTCCTTGTTTAGGCGCACCAGAGTGCATCAAATAAATAAATAAATAAATAAATTTTAACAGGAATTTTACTACAGGTTAAGAGCGCATTTTTCTCGTTTCTCCACTGTTTTTTCTCTTATGCTAAATCTGACAATAAAGTTTCATCTGATTGAATGCTTCATCACGCGTACAGGAGGTTTTTGCAATAGAAACATTTTTATACTTTTAAACACCATTGAAGGAGTAAAACACGTTGTGTTCACTAATACACACATTCTAGGACTTTGTATATAGACTGCAAGAAGGTTATCTCCAGAGAGGATTCGAACCTCCACGTACATCCGCACGGTAGTCGGTACACTTGCCACTGCGCCGCACTGGTACGGCTGGCGAGGGTGGTTTTGGAAATGCCCTTCCAAGTGACGTGTCACACAACACATCCCATCTCAAACGGCCACTGCAATTTGTGACACTTCCCTTGTCAGTATGGTTAGGTTTTTGCAAAGTGATT